GCCTTACCCATGGTGCTTTGCAACCAGGGTTTGCCAGAGGACATCTAGAACATTGCTCATGGAGTGGCACTCCGTGGGGTATTAAGTAGGCAACATTAAGAACCACGTTTAAATTCCTTCCATTTCTCAGAAGCAAAATCACAATAAGCATTTCTTTTAATGTTATACACCTGTATTGTTCAATGCAGCAGCCACTAGCTATATGTAGCCATGGAACTCTTGAAATATGGCTAGTCTGAATTGAGATGTGACATAAGTGTAAATAAACTACATGCCAGATGTAGAATCCTTTATTTTTTTCTATGATATTTTGCCCCACTCCCTTCTTTTTTAGTGCTGGGCCCACAGATCTCAGGGCCTCTAGAACACTAAGCATGTAATTTACCACTGAGCTACAAATTAGGCTTTTTAAAAAAAAATTTTTTTTTTTTTAGTTGTAGATGGACACAACACCTTTATTTTATTCATTCATTTTTATGTGGTGCTGAGAATCAAACCCAGTGTCTCACACATTCTAGGCAAGTGCTCTACCACTGAGCCATAACCCCAGCCCAGATTTAGAAGTCTTGATGTGAATGAATCAACTATCACATCAATGGTTTTCTTATATAAATTTCATGTTGGAATGATTATGCTTTGGAAATATTGGGGTTTGAGAAAACATAAAATAAATTGTACCTGCTTCTCTTTGCTTTTTAAAATGTGGCTACTGGAAAGTTTAAAACGTACAAGTGGCTTGCATTATATGTCTACGGGACAGTGTAGCTATGCCATGAAAATCAGAATGCTTAGAATCAATACATTAATTTAAAAAAAATCAGAATATTTTAAACTTTGGTAGCAATAACATCCAGCATTTGTAGGGCACTTCCAATATCCCAGGTTCTTTGCATGAGTGATCTGATTTTGAATCCAAGATTTGAATAGAATAAAACAAATAAAAGTTGATAAGCCTAATTTTCCTCCCCAGGTCTCGTAGGGTTTTTTTGGTGGGTCCCTTTGGAGTTTCTTCAGGCTGCATCACTCTGATTCTCACACCAACACTGTGAAGTAGACACTGTGGTCACCCCCATTTGCGTAAGGAAATAGAGGCTTAGGTGAAGTGACTAGCCCACAGCTCCCCTACTAATAAATGGCAAGGTTAGGGTCTGACTCCAGGGCTGTCTGAAAGCAGAACCTCTATGAGCCAGTTAAATATTTTGGTGATCAAGGAAGAATGCTGTCACTGTGTTTCACAGTGATCCTGGGAAAGGCTCTCTGTCTTTCTGTGCTTCACTTTCCTCCTTAAGGGACTGGACTCTGCCTGCCATTAGAGACCCCTCTGAGCTCTTTGCAGGCAGGAGAACCCACAGAAGTTTTCCTATCGTGGGATCTATTTTCCCTCCGGATTCTTACACTGTGCTTGGCTCTGGTTCAGTATCTGGTAAAGTCTGGTTCTGGGGGACTAAGAGAATAGTCTGAAATATGGCAAAGCAGGATAGAGGTATTTTCAGCAGGAGTGGAAGAAGGAGCAGGAGGAGGAAGTTCACAGCTGATGGAAAATCCTGTATAGTGTCAAGAGTGCCGTGGGAGGGGAGTACCATACAAGGATGTTCATCCAGAGTGGAGCCCAGTACCCTGCTGCAAACTACCCTCAGCTCATCATAGATGAGCCTTTTATCTTGAAATGCAAAAACTGTGGAGAGAGTTGAAGCGCGCACTGGAAATGCAAAAACTGGAAAAAGACCTTTCAAGGGTGGACCAGAGACAGTCAGGTGGAGACCTTCGGCCCAGTGAAGTGGTGGCTTCTGCAGGCAGATTGAATTGAAGGGCAGATTTTGCCCCTTACCAGTTGTGTGATATTAAGCAAGTTATAAGCGTCCCAAGCTGCACTGTCCTCATCTGTAAAATGGGATAATGACTGTGCCTCTTGGGTGTGGTGGGGATTAAGTGACACATAGCAATAACAGCTGCTGCATTGTGAAGCCTTCTTCAGGTATACAAGTGCACCAAATCCCAGTCAGGGCTCAGCTTGGCTTGGGAACTACTAATAAGATTATAATGAATGAGGGTCTTGTCGTGATCTCAAAGGTGTGTTGGGAAGATCATTCAGCTGCATTCTTGTCCTGATGTGTCGCTTTGGTAAAATTACATACTTTCTCTGAGCTTAGGGTGACTCATTTGTAAAGTATAATGATTGACTTTTATGTTCCATAAGGCCATCTCTTGTTCAAAATGCTGTGCAGTTCTGGACATTGGATTTATTTAGTGTTGGGAAGACTAGGAAATGAACTTCAAATATGTACATATGATTATTATGAATTTGAGTGATTGCGACCAGCTGTTCTTTTTTGACGGAGGACAGGACATGAGGCAACCCACTTTAATTGTTTGAGATTAGACATTTGGAAGACTTTTCTGACTTGGGAGAGAAAGAAATATGTCATCAGAGCAGGCTATGGAGCTGCATGCCCTGAAGTCATTAAAGCAGACAGTTGACTCTTTCTCTGACACTCACAGGCATTCCCTGACTCTCTGATCTGATCTCCTCCTTTATTCTTTCATGTTTCATAGTTGTTTTCCTCTATAGCACTCAGGACAGTTCATAATTGCATTTTTATTTTGTATTTAACATTTTTATGTCTGTCTCTTTAGACTATAAACCACCCAGGGGCCAGACCTAACTTGATTTGGTCAACTCCTATGTCCCTAGTCCCAGCACAGCAGTTGTCACATGGCAGGCGCTCCGTAAACAGCTGTTGGACGGATAGATTGATGGATGCAATCCAGAGGTGGCAGGTTTTGTGGTAGTGCTTGTTGATGGAGGTGGGTCCTCTATTTTTTTTTTTTTTGGTTAAAAAAAAAATCCCAGAGACCTTGCTTCTCAAGAGACTTCAGGTACCGTTCCTCCTTCCACCTTCTTTTTTCTGGGAGCTGGTCACCCATGGTGCCTTTCTTTCATGGGATTGGCCGGCCTGTGCTCTTCTGGGTGGCCGAGGAGATGGAGCAGGCAGGTAAGGTTCCATTGGGGTGGGAAGGAAGCCTGGTGGAGTAGGGCTCGATGGTGCTGCTGATCTCCATTCACCCTTCCAGATCCACTCTTTGCCCTTCACACTGCTCTGTGTCCCAGGAAGTTGACCTCGGTGGGCTGCATTGACCAGGCTCCCTGCCCTCTGGCTTCCGGTCAAGGTTGGCCAATGAGAGGGGACACGGCAGGAAGATGGAGGATGCAACAAAGCGTGCTTGGGTCATGTGTTGGTTCCCTTGTTTCCTGGCCTCTGGGATCCAGCCAGAGCTCCTGTCTGGCCCTGTCTCCAGGTTCTTGCAAACACTCCTCTGTCTCCCTAGGAGTAGCAGTGGAAATGCTCCCCTGGGGGCACCTCACCATTGATTTTTGGTTCCCTTTCTCCCATACACACCTCCTAGTACCTACACTAAACCTTCAATTCTCTGATATGAGTGGGCCATTTGTTTCCCACACATACCACTGTATTGTGTTCTTGCATCCATGAGACCTGAGAGAGTGGTAGTGTGTGTGTGTGTGTGTGTGTGTGTGTGCGCGCGCGCGTGTGTAGGTGGGGGTGGGGTATGAAGTCCAGGATCAGAGGAGGGGTTGGAGGAAAATTTTACAGTAAATCAAAATATAATCACTTGGACCTTAGGTTTCTGTTTTTACTTATTATTATTATTATTATTATTATTATTTGGATTTTAAAAATTTCTTTCATACATGACAATAGTGGAATGCATTACATTCATAATTATCCATTCACAGCACAATTTTTCATAACTCTGTATTATTTTTAAAAACCCTCTGTAAAAATGGGATTTTGAAGGGCATCTTGAGGAAGGGGTTCAGTTCCTCTCTGTTCTTTCTCAGCAGCGGGGTTGTCTCTAGCTGCCTTTTTTTTTAATTTTATTTTTATTTTTTTTTACTTAGCTAGCCCAGTGGGTTGGTTTTTCATCACTGTAACAAAATTCCTGAGATAAGTACCTTATAAAGAGAAAAGGTTTAGGGGTTCCTGTCCATGATCAGGCAGACTCGCTGTTTTGGGCTTCTGGTGATGGCCATGCAGAGAGTGGGTGGCAGAGCAAACTGTTTACCTCATGGCCAGGAAGCCAGAGAGCAAGAGGAAGAGACTGAGGTACAGTTCCCTTCAAGGGAATGCCCCTAAGGACCTCCCAGTAGTCCTCACCTCCTAAAGGTTCCGCCACCTCCTCTTAGGATTACCCTGGGGGCCGGTCTTTACCAGTGGGCCTTTGGGAGATGCTCAGCATCAGAACTCTAGCACCCAGTGACCTACCTGTCCAGCAGCTGCTCAAACTCCCCACGTCTTCAGAGCCTGTGCCCTCAGCTCCCACCCTGCTCTCTGGGGCCTGCTGGGCATCTGTCCTGGCTCCTCCTTTTCCCCTGGCTTTCAAGGCTCCGCATCCCCTACGAGCGCATGGGAACAGCCTCTCGGAGGCCGAATTAGCTTTTCATGGAGCCAAGCAGAGCTGGGCAGCCAGCCTGGCTGAGGAGAGGTCATGAGTTGCCTGACCAGAGCTGGGGTCGAGGCAGGGGACAGTCGTAGCAACTGCCAAGCCGGTGTGCTGCGTGAGAGTTTCAAAACGCTTTCCTGTAAATCAGAACTTCTCTGATCCCACCCACCCTGTGGTGTTGGACATCATTGTGCCCCTCTGTAGAAGAACAGGCTTGAGCCTCCTCCAGCGCCTTGTCCAGTCACACTACCAGAGAGAGGTGGAAGCAAGACCCAGGCCCAGGCGGAGTGGTCCCATGTCCCACCTGACACCCTTTCTGCCCGGCCTCAGCTGTCCGAGAGGGTCGTGATCTACCTCTGGAATTATGAGACAAGCTGGAAAAGCTGCCCTCAACTCCCATGTTCCTGTCCCCCCCGGAGGAGAGAGCGCCGGCCACTCTGAGTTCTACCCAGGAGCTCTGGTGGAACGTGTCCTTAGGGGCCATCCTTCCTGCCCCAGCTCTTCTGGTGGCCTGACCCGCCTTTCTGTGTGTGTTTCAGAAGTGGAGCTGCCCCTGAAGAAAGATGGCTTCACCTCGGAAAGCACCACGCTAGAAGCCTTGCTCCGCGGAGAGGGGGTGGAGAAGAAGGTGGATGCCCGGGAGGAGGAGAGCATCCAGGAGATACAGGTACTCACTCCTGGGGCTGCAGGCCCCCACCCCGCAGCACTCCGGGGCTTTTCCAATTCCCTGCACCAACCCCTCTCCCAGGTTTCTTCATTTGTTTGTTCTAAATGTATTTACGGAGCCTGTTGAGCACTGGGTTCCTGCTAGGTCCTGGGGCCATGTTAGGAAGCAAAGCAGACTGAGCCTTCCTCCCTGTGAAATAAACAGCCCACAGTCCAGGGGTGTAGACTCCTGGGTGTTGGCTTTGCCGAGCGAGTCCCTGACTCGCCCTTGCCCCCTTCCTCACCATGCAGCCTCAGCTCCTGCTCCTCAGACTTCTGGTTCTTTTCTCCCACTTCTCTGGGCCTGGGGGAGAGAGGATCTGGTGGAGTTAATGAGGATTAACTCACTCATCCTTCAAGGCCTGCCCAGTAGTCCCCTCCCTTCAGGATGGTTCATCTGTTCCCCCAGCTCCGGATTTTAATGGTGTGCACCCACCATTTCCTGTCACTTGCCTCGAATCCTGTTTATCCAGTACAATGCTCGACACAGAGTATTGTAATAATATTAACTACTGCTAATATAAATAGTGGTGTTAATAATTAAATATAATTAAATTATATTTTATTGAATTTATATCCTGTATTAAAATTTTATATTTTTGTTACCTACATTGTATATGCATAATTTTATACTCCATTCACTCACTATTTTAATTATTAATTCATTAATTTACTGAAGTGATAGTTAAAGGAATGATAATAATAATAATACCTCTCTGGTTTGTTTAATCGGTCTCACTGGCCTGTGAGTTCCATAGAGTCGGGACCCATGCTTGTTGTCACCCCTGGGTCCTCTGTACCTGGTGCATGCAGGTGCAGAGTTGGGTCTCAGTAAAGGCACTGGCCTCCTTCACGGCCACTCCTGTGCTAAGATGAACGGTCGAGTCTTTTCGACTTAGTTCCTGCTCCCCGACTTGTTTGTTCCCTCCTCTGCTTTCCACGAGCTCCAGTCCTACTGGAGATTTCCATTCACTTTAGCCTTTAGTTGTCGAATGGAACTTGGAGTCCCCTTTGTTTTTCTCTCAAGTACAACGTCCATGCATCCGGAATCCAGTTGGCTGTGCGTTCAACACAAATCCAGAGCACGGCCCTTCTCCCCGTATCCTCTGTGGCCACCCTGGTCCAGGCCACACTTATCACTTGTCTAAAGGACTGTGATGGTCTTCCCTGCTAGCACCTCAGAGGGAGTCTTTAAAAGGCCACTAAAAAATAGCAACTTTTGGTCTATAGCAAAATTGTGAGGCAGGTACAGAGATTTCCTAAATACCCTGTGCCCACGTACATGCATAGGCTCCCCCATGAGCACAGGCTCCTACCACATTGGTTACAATCAAGGCACCTACACTGATAGGCCACTATCACCCAGAGCCCATGCTTTAGTGTCCACTTTTGATGGTCTACGGACACATGGGTAATGACAGGCAACCACACTTATGGTAGTATGCACTAAAATCCTCTGTGCTTGGGCGTGACCCTCCCTCATAACCCCTGGCAACCACTGGGCTTTACTGTGTGCACAGTTTTTCCCTCTCCAGGACGTTCTTCAGTTGGGGTCCTACAGCAGCCTTTTCCGAGGGACTGCTTTCCCTTAGCAATCCACGTGTAAGCTTCCTTCATGTCTTGAGAGCTAATTTCTTTTTAGTGCTGAATAATATTCCGTTGATTGGATGGACCATAGGAGAAGGAGCTTTTTCAAGTTCAGTTGGTGCCTGTCATTCTTGAGCACAAAGCCTGCTGTGGCCACTGTTGTCTGGAGTGAAACAGGGCCCTCCCACCTCTCTGAGCAGCTCCTTCCTATTTTCCTCGCTCACTCTGTCAAGTCTTGCAGCAACCTGGTTTTGCTGCTCCTAGATCACACCAGGCCTGCTCCTCCTGCCTCGGGGCTTTTGCTCTGGCCATTTCCTCTGCCTGAGAAGTCCCAGGCTTTTGCCCCACGCCTTCTGCTCACAGTGGCGTGGCCTGACCTCTGCATTTCATACCACGTCCTGTGCCCTTCCTGCCCTGCATCTCTTGTTCCCTCACTCTGTTTTCTTCTTCTTCTCCCCTTTTCTCTAATGTAATTTGAAATCTGTTTATTTATTATGTATTGTTTATTATCTGTTTTCTCCCGATAGAGTGTAAACTCCCCAGGGTAGGAGACTTTGTTCTGCTCACGAATCCATCTCAAGTCCCCCAATAGTGCTGGGCGCGTAGGAGACCCACAGCACTTATGTGCTGAGTAGGTGCACAAGTGACCAGATTCTGATGAGTGACCCGATCCCGGTCTTTCCCCCTCCCACATGTCCTACTTTGCTAGTTACCTTTTGTCCTGAAGCACAGCTCTGTTTGTGCCACCCCGGCGTCTTGCTTAAAAAAAAAAAAATTGTGCTTCTCACTAAATAAATCCAGAGTGGTGGTGTGACCTTCCTGGGCCTCCCCTTTCTGCTCCTCAGCTAGTTTTCAGGCTTATTTTGCTGTGACTTCTTTCCTCCCTGCTCCTCAGCCTTCTTCCCTCTCTGCCTTTGGTCCTGCTGGGCCCTCTATCTGGCACATGCCTTTTCTTCCACCTCTGCAGGCACAGGTTCCATTCGGCTCTGAGGCTCAGCCTCAGTGCCACTCCCTGTCCAGCCTTTCTTGGTCTCCCCGTAGCCACAGGGCTCTCTTCTTACCTCAAGTGTCTAGGGCACCTGCTGCTTTCCTCCTTGTGAGTTTGGCCAGCCGCCTATCCCCCCCCATTGTTGGACTTTTGGATTTTGAAGGCCAGGTTTGTCACCTCTCTGTGACCCCTTAGTGTAGTGTTTGGTTACATAGTGGACTTTGACAGAATCAGCGAATGGGACAGACCCATTGCCCAGAAGCCTTGATATTGGCTTTTTTTCCTGTGTGGCCCTTTTCCTGCAGAACTGGAGGTGGGTTTGAGTTCTTCTCCTGAAACTCTGGTCTATTATAGACCAGAATATTTATATTCATAAAACTAAATGGCTGCCATGTGCAGAGCCAGGGGCTGTTCTACTGTGCTCAAAGCTGAGGCAGCATCCGGAGCCAAACAGATTCACTTGTGTTCGTTGGCTTCACGTTACCAAAATACCTAGGTAGTCAATGGTCTACAGTTTTTTTCTTTTATTTTCATTCATTTGACCAAAGTTTCATGAAGGCTTCCCTTGAGGAGGAACTGTGTCAGGTGCTGCAGAGAGGGGCCAAGGGAGACCTGCCCTCTCCACCTGTAGTCTGGTGACACACAGACAGAAAACAAGTAAGACATAAAATATTGTGTTCTTGGAAAAGTGCTATGAGATGAACACACAAGATGAAGCTTCAGTAGAAGAAGGGTCGGGGCAGATTCTAGGTAAGTGTTCTAAGGAATACAAGGGGTTTAACCTCAGTTAAAGAGCTTTCTGGGCAGAGGAACAGTGTGCTGAAGGCCCCGAGGTAGGTCAGAGCTTGTGTTGCTGGAACAGACGGAAGGCCCATGTGGCTCGAGTGTGGTGCCAGGGAGAAGAGCCCAGGGTGGAGCTGGACAGGTGGCCAGGAGCCAGACCTGTCAGCCTCAAGGGACGTGGAAGTGGCTTTCAGTTTCATGTAAAATAAAAGAGGAAGCCAATTGGAGGATTTTAATCAGGGCCGTGAATTTATATTTTATAAAGATCCCTCTGGTTCTGCATGGAGAGGAGATTGGATGTAGGGCCAACATAGTGACATTTGTTAGATTTTGTAGTATTCCTGGCTGGAGATAATGGAATCTTTGAAAAGGAATTTTTTCTTTTTTTTCCTCTTTGTTTTTTTTTTTTTTTCGATACAACCACAAACCACTATTATCATCACTGTAAAGACTGTTTAGAGTAACAGAGAGAAAAGTTATTTTAAAATGTGTTTATTTTGCAGACAATGTCCTTGGACAGGGACTGTTGGTATGTTACTGGGGATAAGCTGATTCTATAGTTGGACCACCTCTGCCCTTCACTTCTTGGACAGGACTCTCCCACTTTGCTTCCTGAGGCCTGAAATGAGCTTTGTTTTTTAGGATGTCCTGGTTCCTTCTGAGTTAAGAATCACATAGAGAGACTTCTGGTGTCAGGGCCACATTGAGAGAAATGCAGACACTGTTATGGGGCATAGCCTGGAGATTCCAGAGTCACAAGGGAGCTGGTGGGGAGAAGAGGGACAGAATCTCAGCGGGAGGAGACGTCAGTTCACTCTTGGACATTGAGGCTGCGTGACCCTCTGGGGACCAGCTCATCTGCCTCCACCCGTCTTTCACCTTCCAACCCAGAGTCTGTATTATGGACAGTAAATACCCTTATCATGAAAAATGACAGTGGAGTCAGAATTGTACTGAGATGCCAGAGGCAATGACCTTTAAATTCCAGACACTTGGAACTTACCATGATTAAATGACCTCAAGACTCAGAAGCTTTGCAAGACAGCTGTGTGATCAGCAACCGCAGTCCTAATAACTACACTGTATATTTATGCTACATCTTTTCACTGAAGACTGCACAGCATTTGTCATTGTTTTGCTTGGATTTCACTAGTGGTCCCACCTGCAGGTCAGGAAGCCAAGGGCCTGCTCCAGACCCGAGCCGACATTTCCTAGTTGTGAGCCAGAGGTCACATCCAGCAGACTCGGCTGTGTCTTTAGATGGTGAAGGCTGACCCAGAGATCCATAAGTACCATCTGCCGGTGGGTTCCTAAATAAAACCGGGAGGGAAATTGGAGAAGAATTCACTAGAACTCTTTGGAGCTCTTTGGAAGGATGGGGTTACAGGGGTATCCTGGTTGCTATGATTGCAGCAGAGCACTCTGGCAGGAAGGCAGGAGCAGAAGATCACTAGTAACCCTCTCCAGGGCTTCCTTCTTTGAGGACAGGTCAGCGGTGTGTCCGGGAGGCTATTTGAATAGCAATGGTAACATCAGATGTCCATGTGTTGTGTGCTACTTTCTAAGACTTTCCATAGTTTTTTTTATTTTTTAATTTTTGCACTATTCCCTCAAGGATTGGGATGTCATCCTATATAAGTGTGTTTCCTGCACACTTTTCTGGCTGCATCTTAGCCATCTCTCTCCTGGAGCCACCAAACTTTGGTCACACCAGCCCTTTCTGCTACTTGGACAAGCCACGGTCCTCTCCCCTTTGCTCATGCTGGTCTCCCTGCCTAGAAGCTCTTTCCTCTCTTCCTCCCTCTTCCATACCCAAGGCTAGTCTTTGCTCATTCTCCATATCTCATCTCCCTTTGTCCTCAGAAAGCCTCCCCCAACCTTCTGATGAGGTAAAATTCCCTTTTGTCATTTTGCCCTCTCATGTACCCTGAACTTGACTTTATAACAACTGGCCTTATGTGTTTATGCATGTTCTTTAAATCTGTCCTCTCTTCTCTGCAGACTGTGGGGTTGATTTGAGGCCAAGACTCCGCTATGTTGCATCTTGCCTTAGTGCAGTACCTGCCTTGGAGTCGGTACTAGATATGAATGAAGATTGAATTGATTTTTGTTTTATAAATGGGGGAACTGAGTCACACAGTGAGCCCATATAGAAGTTCCCAGGGCCCTGATATGGAGTTCAGTGAGCTCCAAGCCCCTTCCCTCTTTTCCTACTCCCATGGTGAAGGCCTGGGTCTCCTGCCATGATCTTTGAACCTTCCCTTGAACCTGGGGGTATATACTCCACTTCTTCCCTCCCCTCTTCTAAGGGGAGTGAAGTGCTCAGGTCCCTACAGGAAGAGTGCACTGTGATGAACCTGGAGTCCTCGTTCCTGAGGTCTGAGAAACCAACGGGAAGCGGAGCTCATGAACCTGACCTTATTCTACTCATGCCCTCCCTCTGTGATCTTGAACCATCAAAATGGCTTTCAGCCTCAGTTTTATTCACCTGTAAAATGGAAATTGGATTCTCTGTGACTCCCAGGGCTACCGGAGAGAGATCATTTGAATGCATGATCTTTAAACTCTATGACAAGTCATGAACTATCATGAAAATCTTTTTTTTTTTTTTTAAAGTGGATTCTTACGAGCAGCACGTTAACGTTACATTCTGGTCAGATGAGCAGGAAGTTGCTTGTTTTTTTTTTTAGGGCAGGTTTCAGAATGACAAGGAAAGGACAAACACATTTTCATGGTTCTGAGGTGGCCTTTGATAGGTACAAAAGGAAAGATTACATTAAAGAAAGTAAGTTTTGATAAAAATGACTTGGCTCCATAGAAAAGCATTTCTGCCTGTTTTAATCAGCTTTGTCATGGCTATGACTAAAAGATCTGACCAGAACAACCGTAGAGGCAGAAAAGTTTATTTGGGGGCTCATGGTTTCAGAGGTCTCAGTCCATAGATGGCCGGCTCCATTCTCTGGGGCTCCAGGTGAGGCAGGAGATCATGGTGGAAGAGTGTGGTGAAGGGAAACAGCTCACATGATCATCAGGAAGCAGAGAGAGCGTCCACTCACCAGATGCAAAATATATATCAAAGGCTCACCCCCAGGTACCCTTCTCCAGCCACACCCTACCCACCTTCAGTTACCACACAGTTAATCCCATTAGGGGATTAAGCCACTGATTGGTCTAAGACTTTCCTAACCCAATCATTTCTCCTCTAAACCTTCTTGCATTGTCTCACACATGAGCTTTTGGGGGACACCTCACATCCAAATCATAGCACTGCCAGAGTATTCTCAGAAAACTCTTCTTGGGCTCAAAGAGTGGAGAAGTTTGGTGTTCTGGGAGGTCTTGGCTGGAAGGGGCTTGGGCTTGGGCTCGGGGAGTGTCAAACTCCTGGGCAGCATCTCAGAAGCTCAACTTCCCAAGCATCAGGAACAGCAGCCTCACTTTGCAAAACAAAACGAAAGCAAAAAACAAAACAAAACAAAAAACATGGAACACCTTAAGAATGACCCTCTGGCAATTTTCTCCTTTGCATTTAATTTCTCAAATCTTCTACTGATTTTCTTGTCATTCCAGAGGGTTTTGGAAAATGATGAGAATGTAGAAGAAGGGAATGAAGAAGAGGATTTAGAAGAGGATATTCCCAAGCGAAAGAATAGGACCAGAGGACGGGTAAGTGGGGGATGCCACAAGGGAGGAAAGAGCAGAGCTGAGGTCAGGCCCAATAATCGATCCCTGGACTTATTCCAGGTCCCACTGAAGCGAGATGATCTCACACCCGTGGTCTGGCTTGGAGAATACTCAGAGAGGAACACTCCAGAGGGGCTCTGATCCGGTCAGAGCCTGGAGGAGTTCCATGCTGGCAAGAGGGATGAGAGGAGGCAGAAGGCACTCTGCGGGGGAGGAGGAGGAGGAGGAGAGGGTGTCTGTTGGGCCCATCACTCAGTCATGAAAAAAGGCTGAAAGTTTCCTGAGGTCATCCCAGAATGACAGGGTCAGGACACAAACTTTGGGGGTGCGCTTCCCTAGGCTGGGAGCAGGAGCCTGCTGGGGAAGAAGGGGGAATGCAGCTGATGGTCCCCAAGTGGGTTTGGCATGAGCTTTGGAGTCTGGATGGGGCAAGGAAGGGGTCAGAGCTGGGATGAGCAGAGGGAAACCCCTGGTAGAAGGGATGAAAACAAGGTAGTGGTTGGTCCCCGGCGGGGAGAGAGCCAAGCCAGGGTGGTGCTTTCAGGCCCCAGGTTGGTTCTCCAGAGGCCTCATGTACAAGCCCAGAGGGGCTTTCTGTGGTTAACCTTCTGTGGTCTGCAAGGGCATTGGATAGTAATGAGATGGAGAGGACCCTCCAGGGGTAAACTGAGGCTCCCCACTGGAGAATTCACTCTCTTAGGCCGGAGGGTCTGGCTCCTACAGGCTGCAGGCAGGACCCTTCCCCTCAAGATAAGAAGTTTGCCCTGTGGGTTTGGGTCCAATAATAATTCTCGCAAGCCTCCCTACTCTCACAGCCCCTATGCTTTAGTGGACAACAATATCTCTGAGAGAGCTTTTAAATGCAGATTCCTAGGGACCTGTGATCAGCAGTCCTGATTCAGCAGATCTGGGATAGGGTCTTGAACTGTATATCACTAGCAAGTTCTCAGTCGACAGTTGCTTGTAGTTTAGCACTGCCCGCACCATGGGCTCAGATGCTCGGACCTGCTGACAGGAGCAGGGATCTCTCAGTGCGGGCAGGCCAGCTGTCTGATGGTGCATTCTTATATCACTGTCACCAGCTTCATCAGTTGCCAGTGTTTTGACTGTTTTGTCTCATCTGTTCTTTTCTCCCACTTTTCATTGGTTTATCTGTTTGATTATTTCCTCATGAGCAGGAGTGGGTAGGAAGCAAATCCTAGACATTAGAGTGTATCTCTAATAGATTTCATTTTCATACTCAGTAAAAATGACTATTATTTTAATAGCTACTATCCAGCCTCTGTTCATTTCCCCTTGATTTCTCAAAAAATGTCCAGTGCTGGTTGGTTGGTTTGCAGCCTACATCTCCTTTATTCCACACATACCTCTTTCTCATGACTCTCTACCACACACATTTTTGTGTTAAACCCCTGTGCCATTGATTTGTTGAAGAACTTGGCTTATCTTGTAGAATTTCTCACATTCAGGATTTGGTGGCGTAGTGGTGCTTTTATGTCTTCCTCTTTCCATTGTATTTCCTGGAAACTGGTATAGTTGTCTTTTCTTTCTATGGTTTTGGTTTCCATGGTTTTAGTTACCTGTGGTCAACCCTGGTCTGAAAATATTGAATGGAAATTCCAGAAACTTCTGATTCATAAATTTAAGATCATGCACCATTCTGAGTAGAGTGATGAAATCTTGGGTTGTCTAGCTCTGTCATGCGAATCGCCCCTTTGATCAGCGCATCCACACTGTATATGCCACCCTCCCATTAGTCACAATAGGGTTGTCTAGGTTACCAGATAGACTGTGCCAGTTTTGTAGCACTGTGTTCAAGTAACTCTTATTTTACCTAATAGTGGCCCCACAGCACAAGAGTAGTGATGCCTGCGATTTGGATACGCCAAAGAGAAGCCATAAAGTATTCCCTTTAAATGAACAGGTGAAAGTTCTTAAAGAAAGAAAAAACATATCAGATGTTGAGGTTGCTAAGATCAACAGCGAGAATCTTTTATCTGTGACATGGTAAGGAAGAAAAAAGAAATTCCTACTACCTTTGCTGTTGCACCTCAAACTGCAGAAGTTATGGCCGTAATGCATGATAAGTGCTTAGTTAAGATGGAAAAGGCATTCAATTATAGGATTTGGTACTATCTAGGGTTCAGTGCTCCATGGGGAGTCTCGAAACATATTTCCTGTGGACAAACGAACTACTATTGTTTGATTAGAGACTTAAATAGATTGAGGTTATTTGTGTGTGTGTGTGTGTGTGTGTGTGTATCTATAAATATTTATTTTGAGGTAGGCAAGAATCTTTCCTTGGTGGTGAGATGTACCTTTTATTGGAGGCACATGGTGTCCAGTTCTTTTGCTTTTAGTGGTCTTTGAATTGGTCAGTAGATTTATTGCCAGCTTGATTCCTCCCTTATAAATTTCCTCAACAAATTTTCACCTAGTGATTTTCATAGCCACCGACGAACTTGCCTAGACTCATTACTTCATTCAGCAGGTGGGGTTGCCTACAAAATAATTGATGTCTGATTCCATCTTGGAGGAAGGCTTTGGAGCTTGAAATTCCTGTGAACCTCAAGGCCTGTGTAACTCCTGACCTGCTTCCTGTCTCCTGAACCAAACCTACTAGAGTAGACTGTAGAAAATGGTCCTCTTAACATTTTCTGCACTCTCAATATAAATCTAGAAGATTGGACTCGCAGTCAATGAATAGGAATTAGGTGTCTGCTCTGTGAGATTGTCAATAGCAATAGCAGCAGCCACAGCCATTTATACTTACAATGTACTTACTCTAAACCAGGCAATGCGACGGGCACTTTACAATGAAGTTACTATGCAGACAGTGATGACTTGTGTCAGGTGCTTTACACTACATTCTATATTTCTGACTGTCCATTGCAGAGGCTGCTGGCCACATGGAGCAACTGGTCCAAACTGAGAAGTGCTATAAATGGAAAACACACACCAGATTTCAAAGACTTAGCATGAAGACAGGAGCATAGAACATCTCGTTATCAATCTTAGTATTTATCAGATTTTGAAATTATAATATTTCGGATAGATGGGTTAAATAAATAAATTATTAAAATAAATTATGTTTTAGTAAAATTAAATGTACATTTAAAAAATTTTTTGCCTTATTTTCATTTATTTTTTTGAGTGCTAGGGATTGAATCCGGGTCTTTGAGCATGCTAAAAATGCCCTATACCACAGAGCTACACCCTAGCCCAGATCCTCTGTCTTATTTTAAATGTAGCTACTGGAAAATTTGAAATGACAAGTGTGGTTCCTGGTATATTTCTATTGATTGGAACTTTTTCCTTCGTTCCTTTAAGTTGGTATTATTACTCCCCCAAAGGTTAAATACTTGGGCAAGATCACTCAGCCTTGTCAGGAAGAAGCCAGGATTTGAAGACAGCTCTGTGCTTTTTCCATGGAGTTGTGCCTGCTCAATGCTCAGCATGTAGCCAGGACCCAGCTTGCTGAATGAATGACTGAATCATGGAAAACAGAAAGTGTTTTAGTCAGCTTTTTTTGCTGCTGTGACTAAAGGACCCAACCAGAACAACTGTAGAGGAGGAAAAGTTTATTTAGGGACTCATGGTTTCAGAGGTCTCAGTCCATACAAGGCTGACTCCATTCCTCTGGGCTCAAGGTGAGGCTGAACATCAGGGTGGAAGAAGGTGGCCGAGGGAAGCAGCTCACATGATGATCAGGAAGTAGAGAGAGACTCTACTGGCCAGATACAAATATATACCCAAAGCCACGCCCCAATTCCCACCTCCTCCAGCTACACCTACCCACCTTCAGTTACCACTCAGTTAATCCCTGTCAAGGGATTAATTCACTGATTGGGTTAAGACTCTCGCCACCCCATCATTTCTCCTCTGAATCTTTTTGCATTGTTTTACATGTGAGCTTTTGGGGGCCACCTCACATCCAAACTATGACAGAAATAATAGTTGTACCCCAACTTCAGGGGAGCCTAGAGAAGGCCTGAAACAGCAAGGATAGGGCTGAGACTAGCTTGGGGTTCAGCCAGTGCTCGCCGATTAGCAGCTACTGGTTCCATGTTGTACAATGACATTATGGACATACCATCCACGGTGGGAGCTATGGAAGAACCCAGAAAGGTATGGGTGGGCCTCTTTGTGCTTCAATAGCATGTGACACTACTTCCCCCACAGCCTCAGTTAAGCTGATGGCTACTGGTCAATAACTCCTCCCATTTCCGTGGGTAGTCTAGGCCTGGCTCCTCCATGTGTAGTCCTGGATTGTGGTTTCAGTATTACCTTGGAGCAAGCGAGCTCATTAGTAAGGCAGAAGCCCAGCCTCTGCCCTACATGGACTGGATCAGGGTCTGCAGGTTGACAAGATGTTCAGGTGCTCTGTGTACACATGAGGAAGTCAGGGCTCAGGTAGAGTTTACAAGATGGGTTCTGCCTTATTTGAACTTCAAACCCACGAGTTCAAACCCCAGCTTCATCACCTTCTACTCCTTGGATAAATTATATAAACTCTGTGACCGTGACCACATTGTAAAAGTACTCTGGGCCTCAGTTTCTTCTTCAGTAAAATGGAAATAAGAATACACAGCCAATTTTGAGTGCTTAATAAAGGCGAGGCATTAGAAGGGAGGGTACAAGCAAAGGGAATAGCTCTGGGAGTTCTGATAATGTAAGTTCCCTGAGGGGTGAGAGCAGTTCAAATCTAACAATTAACAAGTATGTTTATGATAACTTTAGCCCTAGAAATCACAGCTTGTTAAGGTTCATAAAATGATTGTTAAGTCATCCACCTGAGTATTATCAGTGAATCTATTAATCAGTATTTTTTGATGCACTATGGTGCAGTCTGGTGCTTCTCAAACTTAAGAGTGCATACGAAGCACCCAAAGGTCTTGGAAAAGTACAGATTCTGAGGCATCAGGTCTGGGATGTGTGGGCTGAGCTCCTGCCTTGTTAACAGGACCCTGGGTGCTGTTGGCCCTGCAGGTCTGAGGACCACACTTTCAGTAGCAAAGGTTTTGGGCAATGGTCCTTAATTTTCTTTTTTTCCATCTGAGCAATTCCTTACACTCTTAAAAATCACGGTGAGCCCCCTGCAAAGGTATTGTTCTGATTATAACCAGTGAGACTTATTTCACTAGTGACTTGCTACATTAGAAATTAAAACAAAAATTTTAAGCTTAAGAATACCTAAGCTCACAGTGAAAGCATCATCACGTGTCATGTAGCTTCTGGAAAACTCCATTATCCACTTTTGAGAAAATGAGAGGGAAAAAGCAAATAGTGTTTTAGTATTATTATGAAAATAGTTTTGACACGGATCCCGGGACCACTGTTTGAGAACAACTGTTATAGAAGAACTAGCCCTTGGCTTGGACCGTCTGCCCTAGTTAAGGGTCTTTTAGTTGCAGGAAACTTGATGGCTTAAGCAAAAATGGGGAGGATTTGAAAAATTGCTGGGCCATTGCCCCAAATTTGAGCAATCTTTGAAGATCCAAACCACAGGAAAGGCGGGAAAGAGACAGGGAATTTAGAACTGGGGAAGAGTAAGAAACCCGGGCCTCTTCTGGCCCTTGTGTTTTTTTTTTTTCTCTCCGCCTTATTCTTCTTGTTTTATTTATTTTTTTTAATTGCAGATGGATACAATACCTTTATTATTTATTTATTTATTTTTATGTGGTGCTGAGGATCGAACTCAGGGCCTCACAGCGCCAGGCAAGCTCTCTACCACTGAGCCACAACCCCAGACCCTTCCTTCATTCTTCCTTTCCTCTAACTTTCCTTTCCTCTCTCTGCCCCATAGCTCCAGAATTTATGGGTTCCCATAGTTCAAGTGGCTTATACTAATTGTGGGTCATTGTTTCCCCATTCCAAGTCCCTTAGAGGTAGAATCGGATTGGCCCAGCTTGGAGGTAGGCTCTGATTAGCTCCAAAATCATGTGACGAATCCTAAACCAGCCAATCAGCCGTGGCCTATGGGGCAGGGTCCTATGGTACAATCATGGCTGCCATGGCCCACCAGTATGTGAATGGGAGGTGGGGTGGGGCGGAGTGCAATGAGGTGGGCAGCTCTCAGAGAGTGTAGACAGGTTCTTTTTTGGCAAATCAATTTCAAAGGTTTCATAACAGTGTCTGAAAACCTAGGGTTCTGCTCCTTTTACTGGTCCTGTGACTGTGGACAGTCATGAACCCTCTCAGAGCCTGCTTCATCAAATGATAAATAGGAATAATACTACTCCTCGGTCTAATTCAAAGGTTATTTTAAGAATTAACTGAACTAATACACAGGAAAGAGCTCTGCATGCTGTGAGCCCCGCAGAACGCTAAGTGTTAGTGATTCATAATAAAGTACGAAGTGCCATCTCTGCCCTCAAGGACCTCAGAATCAGATTAAGGAGAAGATGCTAAAACTTAAGATGCAATGAGAACACAGCAGGTTTCTGACAGTGCATTAACCAGGGGCAAACAGAGCCAGAGGATCCGAGCAACTCTGGAGGCTAAAGTAGGAGGATCACGAGTTCAAAGCCAGCCTCAGCAACTTAGTGAGGTCCTAAGCAACTTATCGAGAACCTGTCTCAAAAGAAAAGAAAAAAGAAAAAATAAATAAAAGAAAGAAAAGGAATGGGGTTCAGTGGTTAAGTGCCACTGGGTTCAATTCCTGGTACCAAAAACAAAACAAAACAAAATAAACAAACAAACAAACAAACAACAACAACAGCAGCAATGAAAAAAGACAGAGTTCAATGTAGGTAAGGAGGGAAAAATAATTTATCAAGCACTTCCTATAGACTTAGCACTGTCCCTGTGGGGTCATATCCTTAGGTCTAACCCTCTCAACAACTTGCTCTGGAGGTGTTGCTGTTCCTGTTTTACAGAGGAGAAAACCCAAGCTTTGAGAAGTAACTAGTACAAGTCTCATGGCTGATGCTACAGTTTGATTGTCCTCCTGGCTCCGTGTGTTGGAATTTAATCCCAATTGGGTGTTCAGAGGCGAAAACTTAATCTGACTATGGAATTTGGAGCGATTAGGATTAGATAAGGTCATTAGATAAGGGTGGCACTCCCATGAATGATACATACACATGCTCCTTAACACTTGCCCTATAATGCTCTGGGGTACCTCAAGCTTGCAAGCAAGAAGACCATTGCCAGATGAGGCTCCTAGACCTTACATCTTCAGAACCATAAGTCAAAATGAACTTCTTTTCTTTATAAAGCAGCTTGCCTCAGGTATTTTGTTATAGTAACCAAAGACTGGCTAATATAGCTGGTGTTCAAATCTATGTCCACATGGCTCTTTTTACTTTTCAGTGCGGCAAGGGGAAGATTTTTGGAAGAATGGGATGATAGCAGGGCTAAAGCATAGATTGGATGTGGCTGGGTAGAGGAGAGACTAGCCATGACAGGGACCACTGAAAACAAAAACGTGGATGTAGCTGAGTTGGGGTAAACCCGATGAGATCTGCACTAGGCTGCCGTTGGATGTGTAAGCAGGTCATAGGTGGCAATGAAAGAATGTGTGAATGCATGAATGACCATGGGCTCCTGTCCCTTCTCCCTTGTGTCCACATGGTTTGGCAGTCCTGCAGGAAGGACTGGCTGAACAGCCCAGCTGGTGGGTTCTTTGAGCAGTTGAGGAGCTCCTGGTTCAGGGTGTGGAATAGAAAGGAATTGCGAAGGCTGCAACGATCTCTGAAGGAAGAATCAGTAGCGTGTGGATACAGAGAGTGAAGGAGACCACCAATAATTGACTTTCCAGCCAGATTGATGGATTCATTTTTTTTTTTTTTTGGCAAACATTTAAGGGCTGCCCTGCGCCTAGTTCTGAGAATAGTGATGGACTAGATAGACTGATCTCCACCTCATGTGGCACAGACAGAAAGTGAGCAAGTAAAGCAACACATGTACACATTATATGCCAGCCAGCGCAAGAGCTGTGAGAAAGCATGATCGGACAGAGGAAAGGCTATCCAGCGGACAGAAGGTGGTCAGGGAGGGCTTCTTAGAGGAGGTGACTTTTGAGCAGGGCAGGTAGATTCCAAGTGGCCAAGCTCGAGATCTTTCAGGGGTCTCTGGTGCTGCTGCCTTAGAAGAATACCTCACCCGTCCCCCCCAGGTGCCATGCGACCCAGATCCCCATCCTGCAGCTGGAGGAAACTGAGGCCCAGGGAGTCAGCCCTGCAGCCCTGCGAGCCTGGCTCTCTGCAGAGCTGCTCCTGGAAGCCCTGGCGCTTCCAGTTCTCTGCTGACCCCTCCTCTTCCCTGGAGGTATTTCTCCTCTCCGAGCCCCTTCCCAGCTGCTGTTCTTCGTCATTCCGCTTGACTTGCCTTCACCTGCTCTTGGCGGCTGTGACAGGGCTGTGGGCTGTACACGTCAAGCTGTCCCTGGCTTCACTGAGGTGGCGTGGGGGGGTGGGTGTGCAGGCAACGAGGGCGACCACCCTTGGCATCCTGGGCATGGGTGCCTGTCAGTGCCCTGGGGCGACTGCCAGCGCCTGGCAGCTCCCTCTTGGGGTCAACTCTGAGTAATGAGGGCGAGGGGAGGAGGGAGGCTGGCTGTCACTCGTGCAGGGCTGGGGGGTGGGGAGGCAGAGAAGAGACTGGAGGGAGGGAGGAGGAGTTTGTTTTGGAGAGAGACAAGCTGAGGAGGTGGCAGAGGCGGCAGCTTGGCTGGTGGGGTTGATCGTGCAGTGTGGGTGTTTTGTGAGTGTGCGAGGGCCCGGGGCCTGGGGTACGGGCCTCGCCACGGTGAGCCCCCAGCGCCATTTTGCAGGCCAGGCCCTGAGACGGCTGCATCTCCCCCACACCCCAGGCTGCTGTTGTGTCTCATTTCTCATCTGCTGCCCCTTCCTCTCTGTCCCCAAAGACCTCAGCCGGCCTTTTTCCTTGGCTGGGAGTTTACTGCTACTCATTACCAAAGAATGACCTGGAGGAGGTAGGGTGCTATCCACGTGACCAGTGTGGGACTTACAGAGATTTAAAAATAAACCTCCCGCATTCCTGTAGCCACTGTCCTGGACGGCAGAGCTGCCAGCGACCTCTTGGGCTGGTTTTCTCCTGAAGGTAGAGTCATCCCCCCCACTTCTCATGCGGTCCCCCCTGGGAGATGCACACAGCAGGGCCACGTCAGGAGACTGTGAGGGTCAAGGTTTAAGTCACTGGCTGGAGGCCCGAGGCAGACCACACAGGGAGACCTGACCCGAAACCATCCCAACTCAAGGTCAAGCGTCAAGGGGACAGAAGCTCCCCTGTGTCTGGGCTTGTGTCCTGGGCCTGGATACTAGGCCTGGCTGTCTCTTGGGACACTTGGGGAGTGGGCAGTGGAGTGACAACTGCAGTTGCATTTCCTCTCCTACCGGGATTTGCTCCCAATAATGCCAGTCAGATGATTAGCACAGGGATCAGGGCTGGCATCTTCCTGCTGGGTCACTGAAGCCCCAGGAGGAGGCCCTAGTGGGATGGAAGCCCCAGTACCCGGTAGGAATTCGATCGCCGTGGGCTTCTCACTCAGCCTGAGTTTGTGTCCTGGCTCTGTTCTTTTTGACCTTGGGCTCCTTGCTCTCTGCTGCCTCAGTCCTGTCATCCATTAAATGTAGATGATAGTGCTCCCTCCTTGGAGTTGCTTAAGGAGATGACCCAGGCAAGTAGCCGCGGGATTCGGGGCAAGTTCCCTGACCTCTCTGGGACTCAGTTTCCTCCCCTGTAAAACTGGGTTGGCGTTGGTGCTGCGGCGAAGGTGTGGGAGAGATGGAGGCGAGGCACGCAGGGCCTCACAGGGCGCATGCTCTTGAGCCGTGTGACCATCATAATAACGAGCATCCCCATACCCCCCCTGTCTTCCCAGGCTCGCGGCTCTGCGGGTGGCAGGAGGAGGCACGACGCTGCCTCTCAGGAAGACCACGACAAGCCTTACGTCTGTGACAGTAAGTATGGGCGCCTCGGCTCCTGCCCCAGCCCCACCCTGCCCTCTGCTTCCGTGGCAGCCAGGCCACTGCTCCTGGGCCTGCACCCTGCCTGCCCACCTGCTCCTCCACCAGTGTCCCCTCCTCCTGATGCAGCCAGGGTGTCTGCACAGGGGAGCCCGTCGGGGAGGCCTCCTGTGCCTCTCTGTCTGGCAGTGCCTTCTTGGTGGCCTTCCTCAGGCTCTCTCTCTCTCTCTCTCTCTCTCTCTCTCTCTCTCTCTCTCTCTCTCTCCCTCCACCTCTTTTAAGATTCATCCTCTATTTCTTTCTCCATTTCAGAGAGTCACAAACAAAAGCATAACTCACCCCCCAACAAAGGCGCTTGTGGCTTTTCATTTGTTTCTCTTTAATTGCCTTCTCTCTCCCTGTCCTCGGTAGGACAACCTAGGAATCTCTCTGGGACGATGACTCACTTTAATAAACACCCCTCCATCCATCTCCAGACTTTTCTTGCTGCTTCAGAAACCTCTGCTGGACAAGCGACTGCCTGGTCCTGGGTTGGGGTCTGCAGACGTGGGGCTGGGAGAGAGGGGTGGCAGGGAGCCCCTGTCACTGTGCTGTTTCTCTAGAGACCTTCAGCTTGAGGAGCGACTGTGGTCAGCAGCTTTTGTCCTTTTGCACTTTCCAGAGCAGGGGGCGGTGGGTTTAGCATCCTGCCCTGTCGTCTTCTCCCTGTATCTGCCACCATCTGTTCATTCCATGGCAAGGACAGCCCTCAAATCCACCCTCCTGAAGATCTTCCTTCCTGCCTTCTCCTCTGATCTCCCAGACCCCTGTCCTAGGGGAGAAGGGGCTTCAGGGAAGCAGCTGCGGCAGGACTGGGCATGGGGCTTCCCCGGGTGCCCCATCCGTCTTCCCCAAGGCAGGGGGTGAGCCAGGGGAAAGAGGGCCCAGGGAGGACCCTGGAGGTGGGGCCTTTTCCTTCCTCCTTCACTGGCCTCTTGTGATTTTCAAAAACTCATTCCGGGCCTGGTGGGGTGACAGCTGTTTGGAGAACATTTTGCTAGAAGAACTCAAACTCTATGACCCCCATTTGGCTGTTTAACACACCGTGCAAGGAAATTCCTGAGATGACTCCCGCAGGTGACATCCCACCCCAGGCAGTTGCCGTCCAGAATGAGGAGGAAGCAGGGCACAGCCCCGATGCCTCTGGGCAATGCCACTGGGTGCCTGCTTTGGCCTGGGTCTTGCTTCCTGGATGGGGATCAGTTTTGTTGTCCTGGGTAGACTGGTTCTGGGCTTCGGGCTGGGAAGGGTCCACAGACCCGCCACGGAGCAGGCTTTCCAGCTGTGTCTGGCTGCCGCAGACACAAGGCTGCCAATAGCTGTTGTGGACCTGGGGCATTGCCACTCATCTTCTTTTAAAAAGCTTTTTTTTTTTTTTTTCATTTTGGTGATTTTCTGCTATCATAGATCCTGGGGTTAGCTTTTCACTCACTCTAGTAGTTGGTGGAAGCCCTGCCAATAGTATTCCTGTATATTCCCGGCCACACCCTGTGCGCCCTTTCTCACGTTCCACTCACTTTCCAGTCCCCTTTCTTCGACATTTGCGCCCCCTTGTAGATATCTCCACCAAGCCTGCTGTCTCTGCACAAAGTACTAGGGTCGAACCCTCTCCTCCAAAGTGCCTGTCTTTTTTTAGGGGCTCTTAGTGCCATTTGCTGTGTTCCGGTTCCCTGTCCACAGGGTCTCTCCTTCCTGCCTACCCTGCAGTGCTTGGGGGGGACCTAAGTACAGGCTGCTGTTGCCTTTCTGGAAATCTCAGTGGCCGCTTCCTTGGCTCTTCCCAGATGTGCACAGCCTCCCTCTTCCTTCCTCAGTGGAGTGAGGTCCACTGTAGATTGCCCTTCTCTATTCTGGCTCTCCTAGGACATTGTGTGGCAGCTCCGTGATTAATAGACTTTATTTTTATCCAGTGCCCTTCAGACATGTGATCCTTTGGGATAGAAATGACCTTTGGAGAGGTCAGGAGGCCCACCCCCCCACCCCTGAACTGGGCAAGGAATGCTTTTAATAATCTCTAATGCATCCTAAGTAGAGAGGTGTCTGGTCGCCTTTCTAGAACATCCCCAGGGATGGAGTTACCATAAGCTGCCCTTTTTTTCATGATTCCCGCTGTGCTTTGAATGATCGTTTCTTCCTAAGAGGAGTGGAAAATGTTCTCTCCTACAGGCCCCTTTTGTCTTTTGTGCACCTTTGTCCGACATCTAGGCACAGTCAGCATTTCCTAACATCCTTGTAGTCTTGGTCCACCCAGGGTTCCACCTCACCATCTCTGTGCAGTCCTACTCTGAATTCCAATCCAGGTCTGCATTTAAGCACTGCATCCTCACTGGAAGTAGCATCCAGAGCAAGTGGTTCCAACAGCCACACACATTTCCTTGTTGGTTTTACACACCAGCTCCTAGCACAACTCACACCAGCAGAGAACATTCTGGTTGCCTGGTACACCATCTCAGCCACTCCCCCATCAGTGCCACCATCCTGGCTGGTGCCAGGGTCTCTCCAGGTGTGTGTACTTTTCTACTTATACATTGGATTATCTCTCCTTCCATAAATCACTCTACATTTGGCCCCATTGAGTCTCAATAAACAGATACGATAATGTGTGACTTCAATATACAAGATTCAATCAAGGCAAATTTAAAGACATTGCCCACTAGTTAAATGTCATTCTTCACAGATTTGCAGTCCCTGCCATTTTTGTATCATCTGTGGCTTGATTTGCATAATTCCCACTCCATCTTTCGAGTTATTTATGAAAATATTAGGTCACCTTGGACCCCAACCCCTCTCTCTGGGTTTCTGTGGAGTGATAATAAGCCATTTTTTTCCCAGATGCAATTGTATTTAACCCTTCCTGGGTCCAGCCATCCTGTTGTGTTGTTGGTCCAAGCGTCCCTTTCACAATGGGTGGTTGAAATATTATCTTGGCTGCTAACTTCAGGTGATAGATAGTTTGCTTCTTGCCTTTCACTTAGCCATTGAATTTATTCCATCTCAGAAATATTAAATCACCTGAATGTAATTTATTTTTTTTTACCCAATCTATGGCATGTGTATGAATACTTCATTTTTCCAGCAAGTAACCCATCTCTATTAATTATCTTGCAAGTTTCCAAGCTTGAGGATTAAAGTTCTGTTTCTTCTCTTTTGGTCTCTTGCTGAAGGAGATGCGTTTGTTGCCCACAAACAAAGCAATGGAATAGGACTTGGTGGAGAAGGCTGTTGGTGACTGTCAGAGGTGTGGACCTGGACCACCTGCCCAGAAATGACCTAGCTGCTTATCAAAATGCAGATTCCTGGGCCTCTTGCCAGAATCACAGGGGCAGTCCCACAACGTGCATTTTCTGAGTGTTTCTTAGGGGGCAGTCTTATGTCTCTTGGTGTTGGAGACTGACTGGTCCCCTTCATTCAAACTCCAAGGCTCCTGGCCTGTGGATGCCCAGCCTCTACTTTTAGTCTAAAGTTCTTCATGCTCCAAGATTCTCCAGGCAGGTGGCCACTGGCTGGCATCCGGTGGTTTAGTTGGCCTCTTAGACTCTTTCCTCTCGAGTTCTTTCAGCAGTGATAAAACTCAGCAATCTAGCACGTGATGTCAATGCACTTCCTCATCGTCTCATTAGCCCATTTTACAGGTGGGATGATAACTGGAGACAGACATGTGAAAGGAATCCTTGGGTTTGGGCTCCTGAAGTCATTTCAAGAGTTCGCCTCTCCTCTTCCTGGCTCCTCCCGGGAGGAGGAATTGTTCTGTCAGGGTCACCAGGCAGACTCCTGGTGAGAGACCCACTTTTCTGTTTTGTTTGTTCAAGGAACATGATAGAAAAGATGGTGGTGATGGGGTAGATGGGGTGATGTTCATGGAAAAATTTCTGTCTCTGAGACTTAGCCATTCAGGGAGGCGCAGAGCAAGGCCTGCACTTTCACTGGGCAGAGTGGAAGTGACTGGTGAAGCTTTATCCAGCCCTCCCCTGGTTTTTTATTTTTTTATTTTTTTAACTGTAATAGTAATTCCTGTTAATTGGTGCTCACAGCATGTATTGCACTCTGCCTAACATACAAGGACAGACGATCTCACTTTATGTGAAGAAATGGAAGATTCAGAGAGGTGAAGGGACTTGTCTAAGGTCACACAGATGGTTAATGCTAACACTGGGATACGAGCACCTCTTTCTTCAGCTCCAGAACTGACATACCCCAGAACATCTCCTGAATAAACTGCTGGTTCAATGTGCTCTGAGAGTTGAAGGAAAAAAAAAATGTGTTTTAAAAGTTAATTAATGAGCACATGTACCTAATTTATGAAGTGAAGTCCTGTCCACTATTGACAGATGACTTCTCGGTGTCAGGTTGACAAGCCGGAGTCAGGTAGTAATTATAATTGAAGTGGAATGGGAAAGATTATATGATTTTTGAGTCTTTTAAATTTAAATCTCTTAAAATCACTCCCTCCACTCCCCAAACTAGGGCATTGGGGTGGATCAGTGACCAAAGACAGACAGACGTGATGGAGGGTGTCCTAGGAGCCTGACTCACCTGTGAGTCCTGTCCAGGGTTCACACATCGGGGGGGTTGTCTGAGCCCCACCTGTTTCAGTGACATCCTTGTCTCCACCACCCTCGCCCCTTACACGTGTATTTCAGTTGTGTGGCCTGTGATCCTAGATGAGACAAGGCATCAGGCTGTTCTCCTGTCCAGAAACCCAGCAGCAAGGGCTTAACTCTGTCCAGTGGGGGGAGTGTCAGAGCAGGGTCTGGTATCCCTTCCTGCCCTGGAATCTGGCCTCCTGGTGATGTACTGGAGGAGAAGGGTGTCCAGCTAATGCAGGGTCTAGCCCCTGGTTCTGCACTCATGGGCGGTGGCACCTGCTTGTGCATTTGCCCTTGCGGAGATGGCCCCTATCTTGAGCTCTGGGCCTCCCTGTTCGGCACCTCTCCTCTGCACTTTGGGCTCCTTCC